CACACACACACACACACACACACACACACCACACCACACCACACACACCACACACCACTCATGGATGCATGCATGCTCATACACACACACACACACACACACACACACACACACTCACACACACACACACACACACACTCATGCACAGACGTAGTAAGCACAAGTTCTAAAAAGAATTCTTCCTTCTATGGTAAAAGTGCTTTATTGATTTGGATGTAAATCTGCCCTGCTTCAGCTTTTGTGAAAGGGCAGTCACTTAGAACAGAGCTTATCCTGGGACCAGCAGAAAGGACAATGGGAGGAGCCAAGGGTGTCCCTGACAGCTGCCTGTTGTTTTACATTTCCCTTATAAGGGGAAAACTGTCCTCTTTCACTGCCACACCAGAGGACTGTCATTGAGGCCTTATATTTATGCTGTATTTAGCCACCATAGTGTGTCTCCTAATCTTAGGAGGGGTATGTGTGTGTGAATGTGTGTGTGAGAGTGTGAGTGTATGTGTGTGTGTGAGTGTGTGTGTGAGAGGGAGTGTGTGTGAGTATATGTGTGTGAGAGAGTGTGTGAGAGTGTATATGTGTGTGTGTGAGTGTGTGTGTGTTCAATTCTGTAGAGTTCCAGGAATTTCTAGATGTCAGTCAAATACCAAAGTAAACAGTTGTTCTCCCCTTCTCCCACGCCTGATGGAAGTGTTCTGGGGCTGGAGGTAGGGGGTGTTTCATGAATGAAGAAGTCGGGCTGACATGGTGGCACATACCTGCAATCTCAACACTCAGGAAAATGTAGGAGGGTTGTGAGTTTGAGAGTAGCCTGGACATGAAGACTCTGTCCCAAAACAAAATAATTTAAAACAAAAAACCAGATAGATGATGGTGGTGCACACCTTTAATCCCAGCACTTGGAAGGCAGAGACAGACAGATCTCTGTGAGTTCGAGCCCAGCCTGGTCTACAAAGCAAGTTCCAGGGCAGCCAGGACTGTTATACAGAGAAACCCTGTTTTGAAAAAAACCAAATAAATAAATAAATAAATAAATAAATAAATAAATAAATAAATAAAAGAAATCAGAGGCCTCACTTGCCTCGGTGTTAGCTGTGACCTTCAGGCTGGACCTCACCTCTCTGGAAGCCATCCTCCTCAGGCCCAGTGGGCTGTCCTGGAAGCACAGCAGGACCTTCCCCTTAGCCACCTCCTGTGTGACTGCCTCCCCTCACCACAGAGCAGTTCACACTCACTCACCCACACACGCTGCTGGAAGTCTGAGGGAGACTGCTCACATCCTGCTCACACCCAGGCTTTGCTCGAAGCGGACCCCCCCACAGGCAGGCTCTGGAGCAGAGACCGGCAGAGGCGCAGGGGCCTGGCTGAGACTCTGACGACAAGGTTCTCTTGCTCGGCGGTCACCACAGCGCTGCACTCTGTGGAGTTTTCAAACACTATTTGTATTGAGTGTATTCACTGTGCGAGCTCACACTCGGGAGGTCAGAGGACGACACTGAGGTCAGAGGACAGCATTCAGGAGCTGCTTTTCTTCTGCCATGTGGGTCCTGGGGTTGAACTCAGGTTGTCAGGTATGGTAGTGGCAGGTGACCTTACACACTGAGCCACCCCACCAGTCCAGTTTTGTGTTTTTATTTAATCCTACCCCCCCCCACACACACACACTTTCTTGTGAGAGCTGGGAATGGAATCCAGGGGCCTCACATGCTAAGCAGGTGCCCACTCCTGAGTTAAACCCAGCCTGAGTCCCACGATAACCTCATGAAGCACATGTTATCATTGTCAGTTTCTAGGTGGGGTTCAAGGTTATGGAGGTGGACTTAAACTCAGGAACCTAGCTTCTAATGCTTTTGGGTTCCCAGGGTGCAAGTGTACCCTTGTGCTGGTTAGTATTTGTCACAACTAGAGTCACTGGGAAGAGGGAACCTCAACTGAGGAACTGCCTTCGTCAGACTGGCCTGTGGGCCTGTCTGTGGGCCAGTCCCTTGATTTATGGTTGATATGGGAAATCCAGTCCCCTGGGCAGGTGGTTCAGGGTTGTATAAGAAAGCAAGAGGTGTCTTTGCACACCTTCAATCCCAACACTCAGGAGGCAGAGACAGGCAGAGCTCTGTGAGTTCGAGGCCAGCCTGGTCTACAAAGCCAGTTCCAGGACAGCCCAAGCTATTACACCAAGAAACTCTGTCTTGAAAAAAGAAGGGAAGGAAGGAAGGATGGAAGGATGGAAGGATGGACAAAAGGAAGAAAGGAAATGCTCTACCAACTGAACCAAACCCCTGGCTCCTGGATGTATCGTTTTGCTCATTAGCCCTGATGCAGAGAGAAGGGGAAATAAAGACCCAGAGGGATAAAGACCCCGGGCCTCTCGGCTGAGCATCTGCACTCTAGAGGACCAAATGATAAATTCTGTCTAGGAGAGAAGGTAAATTTCCTTAGCAGTGCAGGGGGTTTATTTCTTATTTTCCAGATGGACTGGCCAAAGGCTGGAAGGGCCCAGGGTTGAGTCTTAAGGCAGATTTCCAGGTTTGGGGAAGGAGGCACAAGCCTTGAGGGAGGTGAGACAAAGGCCTAGGGTCACAGGGGTGGAAGGCCTTCATCGGTGGGGCCAGCTGATCCCCCGGGCTCAGGAGCTGTGACCTGAGTGAGGCAGAGGAGCCTCGTGCAGTCTGGCTTCCCTGAGGATCTGTTGGAGCAAAGAATTCCCGACAGCTCCAGGCCTGGGAGGAGTCGTCTACAGCAGGCCCCAGCTTGCAGAGACCAAGAGCGGCTCCTCTGTCCAGAGGGAGGAACGGGGCCATGGCGGTGTAGGCCTTGCTGGTGGGAAGGAGAGGGACGAGAATCCTAGCTGCCCATCCAGGTTCTGGCCTCTGCCCACCCCATGGCGCTCAGCCCCTTCTCATAAAGGGAACGTCAGGGTTGGGAGACGGGTAAATAGTAGAGCCAGGAGCCTCACTGTGATCTCTGGCAACCTCAGTCTCGGGGGGAGCACGCAAATCATCTCGCCTCCCTTTGTGTGAAGCAGGACCGAGAAAGAGACCAGGGTAGCACACTTGACCTAATCATTTGCCCTGTGTTTTAGTCATGGGCTTGCCGATGGGGGCCACAGACAGCACAGTTTCCTTCTGGGCAATGGCAAGCTCCTTCCTAAGGCCTCGGCTGAGCTCTGAAAGGGAGCCGTCGAGATGGGGACTCGTCCTGTGTAGAATCTGCAGCACCCTTCCCTGGAAGTGAACGCATTCCTCTCCGTTTGGGAGAAGCTGAGGATCGGCACCAGAAAGAGACAAATCAGAAAAGCTGCCATCCTCCACGGGGTCCACTCTTTACCCTTTCTGGCCTGGCCGGACCTGGCTCCGTGACTCAGGGGGTCAGCAGCTCCATGTCCAGCCTACCGTGAGGTCGCAAGAAGCTGCAGAATGCATCCTACCTGATTCAAGGAAGCAGAGCTGTATTCCTGGAGAGCTGTCAGTCTCATGGGAGACTCTGAGGTCTGCCTTAGAAAATCTAGCCTTGAGGGAAAGTGATGGTAACGCCACCCACCCCTAGCTAAGAGGGAGTCATGCGAGTCTCTGAGAGTGTGTAACTTGTCCAGGTCACCCAGAAAGCAGTAGCGAACACAGGCCTCCAAGCCTGGAGCCTTCTTTACCAGCCAGGGACACTGGGTCCCTGGGTCCCTCCTTCGGGCTGAAGCCAGTGTCAGAGCAGGGAAAAGAAGGATCCATGGAGAAGTCCGGAGGAAAGTCCTCACCCGTAAATGGCCTATGAGCCGCAGTACCAGATGCTGTGGGCATGTCTGGGAGCCAAGGGGTGTGCCAGGAGGAGCTGGGCACGGGGGTTCTAGCCAGAGCTTGGAGAATGAAGCAGGCAAGGCTTCCATGAGCAGAGAAAGTGAAATCATCAACTTTGGGATTTCTGTGGCCATTCAGCCTCCCTCCCCAGCAGCACCTAGGGAAACATGTTTAGAAAACATTAGCCAGGGAAAGGGATGGGTAAAGAGAAAAGCCAGAGGAGCGAAATAAAGAGATCTGTGTTCCTGCACACGTTGCACCCAGAGAGGGTGGGTGGGGTGGTGAGAAATGAGGCGGAGAGAAACTGCAGATTTCTTTTCTTCTTTTTAGATGTACATTTATTTCTTTATTATTTATTTTTGAGAAGGGTGCCCTGTGTAGCTCTGGCAGGCCTGGGACTCCAGAATGCTGGAATTAAAGGCAGATGCTATCACACCAGGCTCGTTCTTAGTTTTCTTTTTCTCCATACTCCCCCGCAAACCCCCCTCCCCTCCCTACTTATTCCTTGACAGGGTGTCATGTAGCCCAGGCTGGCTTTGAACTTTATGTAGCCGAGGATGACCTTGAACTATACAGATCTTGTCTCCACTTTCAAGTTACCTCTGTGCTAGGGTCCTGAGGCTGGCCTGTTGACATGAACTCTGGAATGAGGAGGTGTTTGTATTCCTCCATTTGTTCTGGATCTGAGCACGGTGGTGGTGGTGGCAGACGTGGGAGGCAGAGGCATGAGGTGGTAGAGACTCAGGCTTCCCTCGCCCACCGAGCTGGCCCACCATGAAGAGGCAGTGGCCATCAAGGGCTGGCTCACTGAGGGAATTCCTCCCAGGCCCCACCTCCAGCAGCCCGGCAGCTGGAGAAGGGGTGCACTGAGTGCCCTGGGAGAAACAAAGGGCCGACAGACCGACTCCTGGGAATGAGAGAAGCAAAGGCAGAAGAGGGTACATGGGGGACATTTCCAGATGAGCGACTTTTTCTGTGGCATCCTAACTGTTAAAGCATTGTGTCCTGGGACAGGGGATCCCAAGGAATGGGACACTCTAGCTTCCTCCAGCACCAGCCCTACCTACCCTCCTCAGCTTCCAGACTACCTGAGGCCTGGCCAGGAGAGGGCTATCCCAGGCAAAGTGAGGTGGGGACAGGAACACCTACCTGTAATATGCGTTGGGGGGAGGAAGAAACTAGTGGCCCCGGGGCCAGAAAGCGGACAGTAGATTTGCCAACGAGAAAGTGGAAGGGATTTTGATGGGACACCGGGCAGAACCAGAAAGGGCTGGAGTATGAGGGAAGAGGTTGTGGGAGGAGACAGAGAGGGCATCTCGTGAGACTTGAGAACAGGTAGTCGCTACCCACCTCCAGTGCTTCCCGCCCCATTGACCCATATCCCCCATAAATTCTAGGGAAGTTCTTGATCTCCAAAGCTCCCTCTACACGGGCCTCAGCTACCTGGATAGCATTCCATCGCCCCTGGATCCAATCCCAGAGGCAAGCCCAGGCATCCGAAATCCAGGGAGGCTGGGGCTGAGTAATCAGCTGCTGGGGCCACGAAGCCCGGTCGTGTCGTGGGGGAGGGGGAGGGGGAGGGGGAGCCCCCCACCCCCACCTCGTACAGGCACCACGGACTCGGGGTGGAGGAGGGGCAGCCTGTCACTCCAGTGTCTTCCCACCCTCCTCCCACGGCCACATTCTCCCTCTTCCCACCTGCAAGCAATTTGGCCAATGGGAGAGGGCAGCTAAGATTGCTGTGTGGAATCCTTCTCGATCTGGGTGCATTTGGTGAGGAGGGGGCTACCTCTTTCTCCACTCTAGACCCTGCGTAACCTTTTCCTCTTCACAGAAGCAAATTACTGGTAATTATCTCACATCCAAAGCCTTCAGGAGCTGCTTCCAAAATTGCTTTAATTGAATTAATTGAATCTCATTTGGTCTGGGGAGAGAACAGGGGGCCATACCTTAAAATAGTACAGGGGAGTCGGGGGAGGGGGTGAGCTACCCAGAAGGAGGCCACTTTCCTGGGGCTGAGACCGTGGAAGTGACAGAGCATACCCCGGACGCACTGCCCGTTCTGCTGATGTTAGATGGGCAAGCCGCGGCCCATTCTGAGTGGGGGACCTTGCCTGAGTCCTTCCGACAGTGGTGGCTGAGAGGTGCTGGGGTGTATGTCCAACCCCATCCTGCCTCCCTACCCTGGGAAGGCAGGGCTGTCTACTTAAGCAAGAGGTAAATAGATGGCTCTAGGAACTCACCCTCAGAGTGGGCTGTCCCCTCCTGCCATCGCAGCAGCAGCCGTGAATGTCATCTATAAAGTGTGCACTGTGTTCCGGGCACCATGTCATTTCATCATCGGAGCCACACGGCAAAGCCTATCTATCCTATTACCGTTCTTGTCTGAGGGGATAAGAAATAAAGCACAGAGAGGTTAAGAAACTCACCCAAAGTCACAAAGCAAGCTGGGACTCCTTGGAGACCAAAGGCTGCCTTCCGTCTTCCCGTTCCTTGGTTGATCCAGTGTCCCCCAAAGGAGCTTCATCCTGGGAAGAAGCCACGGGGTTCCCTTCAGTAAGTAACCCTGGTGGCTGGAGAGGTGGAGGTGAGGCAGATGCACCACCACCTAGAAGTCCGAGGCAAGTGGACCAGCTCCCAAATGGAAAAGAGGCTCATTTTCCCTGGAAAGGGCACACGGGGGTAAGAGAAGGGGGGGGGGGGTGCCGCAGGCTCAGCTGGTCGCTGACCGAGAGAGCAATTACAGTACTGCTACTTAACTTTACAACCCAGGCTGTTGTTTTAACGATGCGACTCGTGTTGGGCTGTCCAATTAATCTGCCTTTGGAGGCTTTCCGAGATGGGGCGGTAGATCTTATCTCGCTCTGTGGAAAGAGAAGTGTGTAGCCTGCATGGCAGGGAACAGCTACCCCCAGGGCCCTTGGCCTCAGAGAAGACCCAGAGGAGCCCATCCATCTGGGGCCAGCCACCCCCTTAGAGAAATGGAGTCAGGGTCTCAGGGCCAGGGGGACCATTTGAAAGGAAAGGATCTTTCCAGTGGGCATGCTCACTCAGCACTGCTCCGTGATCTGGAGTTTGCTTTCCACGGGGAAATCTTCCGTGTGTCTTTGGGGGAGTGGGTGTGCCCACTGGCCCAGCAGTGGGGGCAAAGATGCTTGTAGGCATCCCTAGGTGAGACACTTCCACTGATGCCCCACCCCCACCCTCGTCCTCCCTATGACCCCAAAGCAAAGTTTCCTTCCAGCTTGGGGTTAGCTGAAAGTGCCCCACTGGGCTTTTCAGCCAGGGACTGGTGCCCTCAGTCTGCTGTGATTGGGAACAGGTTCAGGCAGTGGGAGGGAGGGAAGCTAGCCTTTGAAGCCTTTTGCCTGGGATCCGAGGCCCCTCCCCAGCCCCTGGGGCTACTCTGGGCTGAATTCCCTGAATGACTGACCTCGTCCTCAGCCCACCTTCCTTGCTGGAAGTGTGGTGGGAGCTGTGGCGGAGAGTGAATCATGGTGCTGCCAGGTCCTGATGCTCTGGGAGCTGACCAGCCTTCTCACCCAGCCCTAACCTCATCAGCCCACGCTGGCCTCTGTCCTGCTTTTCCTGTGCCTCTTGTCACACTGCCTCCAGTCATCTGTTCAGCCACATGCTAGCCTGAAGCATCTGTCCCTGTCACAGTGGTATCCCTAGGACCTACCCAGCAGGAGATCCATAGGTGTGTATTAGATGGAGAATCCCAGTTCCTTCTAGTATTTCTTCTCCCCAACCCCTTTCTGTAGTCAGAATCCATTCCACCCCCCAGCAGCTCACTTCTTCCAGAGAGCTCAGTCCTCTCCCAAGGTGAGCCTGGCCTGAAGGTAGAACGTGGTGGCTGTGAGGTGCCCGACCCCCTCCACAGCTGGCACAGGAGGTAACTGCTGGCAAAGACCACTCTGACCTTGGCCATTCCCTGTAGGAGTGTCTTCCCATTGCATGTGATGCTATGGGCACTGTTATGACATGCCAGCCCTAGAACCACAGAGCTGGCTAGTGGCAGAGGCATAATAAGAATCCAGTGTTGGGCTGGAGAGGTGGTTCAGTGGTTAAGAGTACCAGCTGCTTTTCCAGAGGACCCGGGTTCAATTCCCAGCACCCACATACCTTTACACAGACATACATGCAGGCGAAACACCAATGCACATAAAAATAAAAAGAATAAATCATTAAAAAAAAAATCTCGTGTTTATGACTTCTGGTCAAGGGGAAGATGTATCAGATGACAGAGGAAAGATGAGCAACCAGCAACAACCAGGATGATTCCAGGGGACAAACATGCCTGGCACCCAGGGCTCTGAGGGGGTTTGTTTTGTTTTTTGTACACATTTTAATCTCTGAAGCTTGTGATTTGAGAGATGGCAAGTGCCTGGGGATGCGGACAGAATAATGGTGAATTCGGACAGTTTCTTGGATAGAGGCAACTGTGAGGAGCAGACGTGCTGACCCTACCCCATTATTTGGTGGCAGCTATGCCCCGCATGGGCCCAGGAAATGTTTGTCCCATGTCTCCTTCTCGGCTTCCAAGAATATGTGCAGGTGAACTTGTTAGGATCAAGGATGGAGGGGCCTATGTTCTTAATACATCCCTGTTGAATTAGATGGATGATTAAGCCCAGGACTTGTCAACTCAAAATGGGTAGTTGTGGGACAGAAGACCCTTTAAAAGAGAGAAATACAAAGTGCCCACAGGCCAGCACTCCATAGTTTTGTTTTGGCGCTGGGACCTCTTACATGTTAAGCACTTACTCTACCATTGGACCACACCTCCAGTTAGGGAGGTAACAGGCTGACCACCACTGATAACCGGTAGATGAGAAACAGGGACTTTATGGTGGCCAACAACAGAGACTCTGTGTCCACTTCCCGTTTTTGTTCATGGATAGGCCGGTAGGGCCCAAGGTGCAGGCCAGAAATAATATTTGTTTTCTCCCTGGCTTCGATCCTAGGCTGTGGTGGGGCTGCAGTCATTTGACTAGGGATGGGGTGTCATTGAGACTGGAGCAGTCTGAACACTAGCCAGCGAAGCTCTCTCTAAAGCCTTTGTCCCACTGGAGGGAGATGCCTGGTCCACGGCAGCACTGGGTACAGTTGCAAAGACGAAAGCCTTTGATTTAGCTCTCTGGCTCGGAGAGCCCAGACTTCCACTCCGTTCTTTCTTCTCCTTTCGCTTCTTGTCTTGAGAAAATCCATCTGGAGCTGGTTTCCTCTCCCCCCAGAAGGGAAGCAGGTGTGCTAGTCCTGGGCTTGACAGGAGGGCTGGAGCCTGACCAGCCCTTCTCCAGACTCAGATCATCTGAGGCCGAAGCAGCACATCTGGGGGTGGGGGGGGAATGATGCTGATACCAGGCTCTGAAGGAACTGTGGGACCCCTGGTAGGCAGGGCGCCTGCCTTGAGTAGATCCCAGATGGATGGAAGATTTGGAGAGCAGGGAGACAGGGAGGGGGATCTCCCAGAGAAGTCTTCTTCCTGCTCCTTGGAGTTCTGTTTCAGGAGCTTCTTGTATTCGGAGCAGCATTTGTTCTGAAACCAGATCTTTGCCTTTGGGAAGAAACGAGGACAGAAGAGAAGTGTCTGTAAAAAGGTTGGGAATGGGAAAGGGACCTAGCTACAGAGAGTGAGTCCTGAGAACCTTTGCTCCAGCCGGCCAGTTCTGGAAGTCCCTCAGTCTCAACTTCCGGTCTGGGTGCCCTCCTCTTCTCCGACCCAATTCACTTCTGGTACATGCCCCCAACCCTTGCTGCGGGCATTCCATGGAGAGCCGCCATGTCAGCAGAATCATGGGACTCCTCTGTGGGGTCTCAGGAACCAGGGACTAGGAAGCTTTGCACTCGGGGGTGGGGTTGGCCCTACCTGGGTTTGGGTGAGTCCAAGATGCGCTGCCCGCTGAGCCTTCCTGGGCAGGGCTGGGTACTGCGCGTGCTACAGACGCTGGTTCAGATGTTGCAGCTGCAGGCTGGAGTAGATGGTTCTAGGTCCGCGCAGCTGCCTGGTCAGGGGCTGCTGCCAGGGCTCCAGGGACAGCGCCGGTTTCTCTGATTCTTCGAGGCAGCAGAAGGCTGTTGTAAGCATGTGGAGTGACCAGGTAAGTCAGGTATTTCCATAGATTCGTGCCACAGGGAATCAGCAAAACCAGCGCAGCCACCACCATCAACCTGGGTCTCAGTGTGTATGCGGTGGGGGAACCCCCGATGTCCACCGGCAACAGTGAATTCAAGCTGCAGTTTTTGCCCTGGTGAGGCTACCATTGTAAGACCCTGGAACAGAAAACGCTAAGGGCCCTGAGCAAGGATACCCTGGCTCCCGCAGTGGGAGGTTGGGAGTTTAGCAGCTGCTACCGTGGTACCTGCTTAGAACAGAGCCGGATAAAAGACTCCTGGAGGGCTGAGCTAAGGTCTGACAAAGAGGAGGACAGCTAATCCAAAGCCCAAGGAACCAAAAAGCAATACTCAAAACTCAGCGGTGGTGTCGGCATGGCACCCTCTGGCTTCCAAAAGGGGTCTGTATAAATTCCCTTGAATGCCAGTATCAAGGCGGGGGAAAGTAAATCTTAGAGTACCCTGCAGTAAAAGTGACCCGTCCTTTTCGTCCCCACCGTCTGCTGGCTCAGAGGAGGCTTTTTCAGGGATCCAGAAGCCAGATTGATGTGGGATAGCCCCGTTTTCCTCTAGGCTGCAAGCACAGAACTGTTCCCTCATGGCAGGGGAAGTGACTAGGTCCAGAAAACGCAGTAGCCCGCAATGAAAATCGTTTCTGGCCGAGCTGCGCGGCAGTGGCATAAGATCTGGTCCTGTCCCTCCACATCCCACCCACCCACCCCACCCCTGCCTGGCAGCCTGGTTCCCCAAGCTCTGCTGAGGGTTGTAGCGCCAGGTTGAGGCCTTGGGTTTCCATTCTTGAAATCTCTGTCCCAGCCTGGACCACTCTACGGGATACTAAGACTGCCCACAGGATGAGAGAAGTAGGTGGATGAAGAGGCAAAATGCCTGCCCAAGATGACAAAATGCTCCGGTGACAGTCGCCTCATTCTGTGCGTGCTTGCTGTAAAGACCCCAGGCGAGAGCGAGCCTTCCGCTCCCCATCCATCCCTAGCTGGGTTCACCCGACACGCGTCAGGGTCCCCGCCCTCAGGCCCAGGGTCCCCGCCCTCAGGCCGTAGTCACCTCTGCCTTCACCTCCTCCGCATCTCTCACCCGTGGCCATGGGGGCTGCGGGATCTCAGATCCTGCCCTTCGACCCCAACCTCAGCCGATTCCCAGAAAAGGCATTGGGTTTCCGCTCCTGCCCGAGCCTGTCCCGCCTCGCCTCTCTGGCTTCGACCCCACCGCTCGCCCGGGGCTGGCAGCCAAGCGACCACCCGAGCCTCCTTGGCTGCATGGACTGCGCAGTTCGGGTGGTGACGCGCAGAGAGAGAAGGAAGACAATTTGGACTGCTGAAGTTTGGACTCTCAGAGCAGATCACCCTCCAGGTGCCTTCCGGGACAGCTGCCTTTCTCCACACTAGTTGTGGCAAGTCACAACTGGATCTACCCCGGTCACGATAACGGATCCTCAGGGCCTCGCTGGAGGCGCGGCCGCCGCACCCGCAGCCTTAACGGGGTGTTGGTGAGGCTCTCTGCTCTCTTCGAGCCAAGCGCCTCCCTGGGCCGGAGTTGCACACGTAGTGTGGGTTTAGGAGACCCCCAAGCCCTTTATCATTCTCCTATCATTCATTCAGGAACGGGGGTCCACGCAGTTCCAACAATGAAGTGCTAAGGGCTGTTTTAAAGACGTACTTGCTTGTGAACGCGCGAGCGCCTGTGGTTTTTCGTTGGATCCGGGTAAAGTGTGTAATAGAAAGAATTCTCTACTCTATTGTTCTTGGGCCAAGCAAGGGAAGGCAGAATACGGAAGACAGATGGGACAACTCCACCTTATTGCCAGAATAGTTCTCCCCAGGTAAGGTCAGGTTCCCAAAACGCACATTGTCCCCGTGTACACACCCATCATATATATCAAGTTGCCCAGGCTGTCCTCAAACTCAGGATCCTACTTCCCTAGTACACATTAGCATATCTAAAAAGAAAAGTCCAAGAGAGATGTAAAACCCTGCCCCCCCATTGTCCCTCCTACAACCAGACCCAGCAACCCAGCAGACCCACCCCCAGTTCTGCCACAGAAAGGGTTAACTTTCTGGGGTTCTAAGAAGTTCCCTAAAATCCCCTTTCCTGGCTCCATTCCTCAAGGAAAGTGAATTCGCATCCTTTCTCCCTGCTTCAGGCTCTCCAACCATAAAACCAGGAATTGGAGACCCCATTCTAAGGGTGACTTCCCTTTCTGGGGGTTCATGAATTTATGTCAGAGTAACAAGAGAAAAGGAGAGAAACGTCTTGGTTTGGGGGTGACTACTATGAAGTGGTCTGGCAGAGAGATGTGCATCTTTGGGGACGATGCCAAGGACAATCGGAGCAATGCCATGGGACCGAGAAGTCAAGTCGGTTCTGCTATGCGAAGGCCAGGCCTAGGAAGGCCAGCTAGTCCCTCGCCTTCGCCGAGGCCTTCCCCGTGAGCCCTTTCTCTGGAGCTCAGACTTGCTGCAGGCAGCAGTCGGAGCTGGGCCTGCTCTATTCCAACATTAAGGGTGAAGGTGGTGGGTTAGGTGAAAGGCTGAAGTGGCCAGGGAAAGACCTTGAGACTGACCAACCTGTAACTTCATGCTTTGAACAATGGTCGGTAGGGTCCTACACCCAGATTCTTCAGGGGCCAGCTACCAGACAAGGTTAGGCACCTCTAGAAAAAAAAAAAGGGGGTGGGGCCCAGAAACCGAGAAGGAGCCCCGCCTTGCTGCCTGCCTACCTCCAGCTGGGAATTGATTTCTGTTTAGTGGTGTTTGGCTGGCATGCTGGTTTCTGGGACCAGGACTTGAGAAGGCTGATGTCGGGAAGGGGGCGAAGGATGGGGAGAATCGCGGGGAAAGAGCTAGGTCTCCACTCCCATATCGAGATTAAGGTAGTTTTCCGTTACTCTTGGGCACACACACAACTCCACTGCTCCAGGGGTTGGGGTAGGGGGCCCTCCCCGCTGGCCTCACATAACTGCAAATCGAAACCAGGTCGGATTTTTAAAGGGAAACCTAGATCTATTCCTCCGCTCCTCCCCTATCCCTTCTCCCTCCCCCCTACCGCAGATTCCGTGGAATCCGAGTAACATTTGAATTCCCGCTAGCTGCGTGCACGCGGAAGAGGGCGAAATTTATGAAAACATAACTCAGGCCCCAAGGGTGAGAAGAGCCTCCGCGGCCACACTTACCTGCTTCAAGTTCCTGCGGGTGTTCAGCTGGCCGGCGGAAGAGCTGAGACCGCGCCGCCGAGAGTTGCTGGCTGGCCAGGTAGGAGTTTCCTGGGGTTGCTGGCCCAGGGTAAGACAAGGACAGGAGGTGGCCGTAGGGCCGGGAGTAGGGCGAATAGGGGGAAGCTGCGGTTTCGGGGGACAAGCCAAGCGGGTAGGCAGCCACTACCGACGGGGCGGGGGCGAGGTCCGGGAAGACAACGTTGGAGGTATCGCGGCCAGGAAGGGGACAGGGTAAAGAGGTCATTGCGGCCCGTGCCAGGCCACAGGGCCTAGGTCATGGCCCTGCACGCCGTCTACTCTCTATGCCAACACCTTTCAAAGTCTCCAGAACTGAGGCAGATGAACCCCCACCCCCAGCGAGCCACCCCCACACTTTAGATCCCAGGGAAAAATGTATCTCGGAGAGCCTCTTCTGGAGGAGAGCTCGCACCCGAGAAAGGGGTTTGGTGGGTGCCCCATGGCTTTTCCCCTCCCCCCCAAGTTCTGGGCCCCCATCTTTCTCCTCTGGGTTCGGTTCCCGGGACCACACGGAGTCCCCCGCCCACTTAGACACCCGGGATTGGCTATCGCACGGTGACCTCAGAGAGGCCCAGAGCTGGGCCCGCCCCCGAGTTAGCACACACCGGGAAAACCGGAGGGGTACAGGGCACCAGCGCGGGGCGGTGCACCTCGGCTCCTACTCCAAGTTGCTGGGGGACAAGTGGAGTCAGGAAATCTCGGTAACAATGTCCAAAGCGCTAGGAAATTGGGCCTGGGATGGCCAAGAAACGTGGGGAGCTGCGCGGTGACTAGGGACGCTGCGCGGACTCAGAACCGGTGCCCGCGCTCCGCAGGTCGCACGGGTCCGCACGGCCCCACGCTGCCTTGGCTCTGCGAGGGAGTGGAAAGCAGATCGCCAGCGCCGGCCGCTTATTCAGCGCGTCGGAATGCGTAGCTGCTGAGCAATGGCAGTTTGTTGGTAAACAGACGCTGGGGCCTGGAGGGTGCCGCCTGGCGCCCAGCCTGCCCCGCACGCGCGTGGCGCGCACGCCCCCGCCGGGTGCCCAGAGCCGGGCACGCCGCGACCGCCGCGACTGCGCCTCACCACCCCCAGTGCAGGCTTCCGCTTCCGCCAGGGGCCCCGGTTTGGTTGCGACACCACAGCTCCTGCAGGCCCTTGAGGCTGCGGGAGGGAATCTGCTGTCTGGGATTCGCCTGTGCTGAGCCCCGCCTTCCCTGGCACTCTGCTCAAACTGTAGCCTCGCCTGAACTGGGACAAAATCTGGGAGTGGGGGTGAATCTAGTTCGGTGGACCCTGAGAGGACACAGAAAATATGGCTAGCTCCTTTGCACTTCCAGGCTGTGTGCAGGACCTGCCTCTAAACGGTACACATGGCCTTGATGAACATGTATCCATGCATGCAAGCATCTGTTGATCTGTTGCCACATGTGCAAAAATACATGGGGACGTCATCTAAGCACCACATATATGCTGTCATATACAAATATCCCTCTACGAAAAGAGGCTCATTAATGAACCTGCAATCACAGACTCCGGCCCTGAACTGCCCCCCCCCACACACACACACACCTCTTCCCCCCAGACTGGGTTTCTCTGTGTATGTAGCCTTTGCTTCTGGAACTCACTCTGTAGACCAGGCTGGCCAGAAACTCTGCCTGCCTCCTCCTGAGTGCTGCGATAAAAAGCATGCGCCACCACTGCCAGGCGGAAACACAGACTTTAAGGTGTGGCGAATATACATCTGCATATCCAAATATGAGCGACTCTTTGAATACTATACTCATCAGTATTAAAGCTGATGAGATGGTTTAGCAGATAAAGGCACTTGCCAATCAAACCTGGCAATCTGAGTTGGAGCCCCAGATACCCACATGGAGGAAAGAACAGACTCCCAAGAGCTATTCTCTGACCTCCACATGTGGGCTTTGTTGTGCATGGACCCACACACATATACATAACACAAAAACAAATAAGTGCAACTTTTTTATTTAAAAAGCACTGTGCTTGCCTTCAACATATGTATTACAAGCCAAATCATTGATATTCAGTCTCAAAAATAAGGCAATCCAAACACATAAATATATATATGTTCATGTACCTACCCTATGGAAGATACCTTTCCCCCACATACCTACGTAGTTTCACATAATGGGAGACAGTTCTTTTGTTGTGGTTTGTTTTGGTTTTTAGAGCCAGGGTTTCTCTGTCCTAAACTAATTCTGTAGCCCAGGCTGGCCTTGAACTCAGAGATCTGATGGCCTCTGCCTCTGTAGTGATGGGATTAAAGGCACACCCCACCACTGCCCAATTCTATCCCTTAGCCCACAAGTCCACACAGATTCTCAAGCAAACCCTGCACACTTGATCCCTCTGTTGTACAAGCCATCTTCACACTTGTACACACACACACACACACACACACACACACACACACACACACAATTAGGGCTCAGAGGAAATGTAGCAATGTTAGGGTGTTGAGAAAGAAGAGAGCTATTAGAGAAAAAGCCAAGACTGGGCCTGGAGAGATGAAGAGCACTGGCTGCTCTTCCAGAGGACTGGGTTCAATTCCCAGCACCCACAGGGCAGCTCACAGCCATATGCAATTCCAGTTCCAGGGCATGTGACACCCTTTTCTGGCCTTTGGTTCCCAGGCACGCACATAAGTTGTGCACAGACCGTACACCCTTACAGATAAAATAAAAATAAATAAAAAGAGAACACCCCAGGGAATGTATAGGGACTACTGAAACTCTTGGACAGGATAAAAGCAATCTGCTTTTAAACCCCCCTCCCCATTGGACAGAAATTAGTTTCTCCAGGAAAATGCAAACTTGCATTTTGACACAGAGTTTTTTGCATATTGGAACAGAGTTTTCTACCCTGTAATCCTGGAGCTCTGGTGAGGGGGTTCTGTACCCTCTCTTTCAGGTTGGCTGGGGAAGTTTGCTTGGTGGGTAAATGTTATTTTCATGTGGGACCACCTTTCCCCAGGCTCCAGCCATGCCTTCGAGTTGGGTCTATGAACTCCTGAGGACATTGCTTTCCAAGCCTCCCTTTCTCTAGCACTATCCTGGTCTTTTGTTTTTTTGGTTTTGCTTTTGTTTTGAGACAGGGTCTCTCTGTGTAGCCCTGGCTGTCCTGGGACTCGCTCTGTAGACCAGGTTGGCCTAGAACTCCCAGAGATCCATCTGCCTCTGCCCCCTGGGTGCTGGGATTAAAGGTGTGCACCACCACTGCCAAGCTGGCTGTCCTGTTTTTCAGAAGGGAGGCCTCCATTGTGTTCCCAAGGATAGCCTCTCTGGCTGCATGAATCAAAGGAAGAGAATGCCCTTTGAGGTGGGGCTGGCTGCCAGGGCAGGTTTCATAAGGGGGTGTTTTGAAGCTAGAATGGAAAGGATGATGGAGGACACATCCAGAGTCAGGCAATCAGAAGCCTTCTGTGCTGGACCTAACAAGGGCAGAACAAGGTAGGTGTTCTGGCAGGCTCTGCAGTGTATGGCTTTGGCATCCCTTCCAAAGTAAGGTCCCCAGTGAATGAATGGCTCTTCTAAGCTTTCCCATGCTCTTAGGAGGGAAAACTCAGCACTCTGAAGTCAAGGGATTTATAAGCTCTGCACCCTCAGGGAAACCCTGTAAGGGGGTAGTTGCTACCTCTTTCCTTCCATCATCAGCAGTCTCATCCCACCTCCCAGAGGATGAGGAACCCGAGCACTTGCTAGATCTTGAACATCTTCTTAAGTGGGAACACCCCCGCCCCGAGAGGGGCCCTCAAAACAGAAGTCATCCTCTCAACCTTAAGAAAAGTAGAAGAGATGGCATGTGGGCTAGGAAGGGAGAGCTTCCAAGCAGCTGGCTTGGTCAGCCAGTTGCTACCAGAGGAGAGGAGGGGCTGGACTGAGATGCTAATCCTCGGTTGCAAAATCCGGGATCCAAGAACATAAAACTAAGGAGGAGGAAGGGAGATGAAGGAGGAAGGGAGAGAGGAAGGAAGGAAGGAAGGAAGGAAGGAAGAGAGGGAGGGAGGGAGGGAGGGAGGGAGGGAGGAAGGAAGGGAGGGAGGGAGGAAGGAAGGAAGGAAGGAAGGAAGGAAGGAAGAGAGGGAGGGAGGGAGGAAGGAAGGAAGGGCAAATTAACCTTTTCTGTTACTAGAAATAGCTCCTGCAGCCCACAAAAGCAGGAACTAACTAATCTGCTTTGAAGAGCCCAGTGCCAAGGAAACTAGTGTGGGGGGTAGGTAGCAGGGGAGGCTGGGGACTTGGGACAACCCAATTCCCTTGGTGCTCAGTGCACATCAGCAAATGCTTGGGTCTTTTCTATTTCTTGAGACAGGGTCTCACTATGTAGCTCTGGCTGTCCTGGAACTCGCTCTGTAGACCAGGCTGGTCTCCGGCTCACAGAGATCCACCCGCCCCTGATTCCCAAGTGCTGGGATTCAAGGTCTCTGCCACTATAGCCGGCTCACGCTTGGGTTTTATCAACTTGCAAGCAGAAGGATATATTGCTTGAGGCTGCTTTGTGTCCGGGTTCCTCCTGAAGCAGAATCATCCTCTTCCGAAACAGTGAGCTTTCCTGGCAGTTCAGAGCCAAGGCTGGGCTCAAACAAATGGGAATGCACAGGGCTTCCCAGCACTCTCGCTGGACTCAGTACAGTGTTAAGGGTGGCTTGTGCTACCTGGGTCAGGCGTGGAGTTCTGAAACTACAAGTCCAGTGCGCACCTGAACCGATCTGCTCAGGGAAATAGAGATTCTCACTTCCCACCAGATTTCTGCGGGCTTGGGCGTCACTTTGGAATTACACACGCCCTCTCTCCTCCACCGTGGTCACAGCTCCGAAATGAAATCTAGATTTTGTTGTTGTCTGTTTTCAGCAAGCTTTAAAGTTCTATTTGGAGGGGCCTTTGTAATTCGGTTTGGGGGAAATTGAATAATTCAATCTTGCAGCAGCCTCCCACCAATCCGCCTCTGCACTGTGGTAGCAGCGCCCAGGGTTCCGGCGGCCTGGCGAAGGAGCCGCCTTGTACAAGATAGCGTCCCTCATCCCATTTTGCGAGAGATTCAGAACCACCGACCGGGTCCCCCTTCCTCTTTCTGATGGAGCATTTGGCGAGCCGTGGTGCTGGAGTGGCGGCTGAAGGCCTTTGAAGTCCTTGCTAGGGCTTTCCTTTGCGCCCACTTCCACTTTCGCCCGCCCCACCCCCCACAGAGCCTTTTCTACGTGCTATTTTCCAAATAATCCTAAAGATGCTGCCCGTGGATCAGGAGGGGAGAAGTCTTGGGGTCAGCGCTACCCGGTCCAGGAACCGCTTGGCGTGGGGCTCCTAGGAGAGTCTTCGCCCAGCCTCACACGATCTCAGCGACAACCCCACCCCACTCCTGCATTCCCTATTTTCTTTGTGTAACTTCAAGAAGTCTACCTGAGATTGACCCGGGCATTTTAAATACACAAGACTATGAAACGTCACCTATGCTAAGAGCTCAACTAAGTATGTCTTCGACCAAGACACGGTCCCCAAAAGAAAACGGTTACTCCAAGTGGGGAGTGCTGGAAGAAAGTGCTTCGGTGGTGCCCAGGCTTGGGAGGAAGCCACTCGGTGCTGAGCTTCCCCAAGCACGGGGACTGAGGTTGGACCCGGGTGGGTGGTGCAGGGTTTCTCCGCAGAGTGTCCCCCAGGGGCCACCAGTGGGCAGAGAGCCCTTCCCGGGGAGCCAGCCTGGTAGAGGACAGCTCAGCGGAGCGAGCGCCAGACACCCTCAAGAACTTTGCAAGCCAACACGAGGCCAACCCGCCTGCAACGAATTCCGCGGGTCTGGAACGACGGCGGCTTGGCTAGGTCTGCAGACTTCCTCAGAGCCCAGCACCGCACAGAAATTCCGGCTTTCCGCTTTCCGCTTTCCCAGCCAGCCGTAGGTGAAGGCTGGAAGGGGACGTGGAGCTAGAAAATGCCTGTAACAGGCAACGGATGATGAAGCCAGTGTGTGCAGGGGATACCCACCATACAGAGCAGAACCCACAGACACGGACCCGCGCACACACACGCCTATAGGTGACCATAACCTTCACACACACACACACACACACA